CTAAGTGGTATCAGTGTTTGGCAACAAGCTCTGAAGATGTGTCATGGTTTATTAAAGATTGAATCCTTGAAGCTAAGTGGTATCAGTGTTTGGCAACAAGCTCTGAAGATGTGTCATGGTTTATTAAAGACTGAACCCTTGAAGCTAAGTGGTATCAGTGCTTGACAACAAGCTCTGAAGATGTGACATGGTTTATTAAAGATTGAATCCTTGAAGCTAAGTGGTATCAGTGTTTGGCAACAAGCTCTGAAGATGTGTCATGGTTTATTAAAGACTGAACCCTTGAAGCTAAGTGGTATCAATGCTTGACAACAAGCTCTTAAGATGTGTCATGGTTTATTAAAGACTCAGAACAATATTACTTTGTATAAAGAGGCATTAACACTCTACTGAAGTGAAACACAATGCTGCTGTATAGATAGAACAATATTACTGTGTATAAAGAGGCATTAACACTCTATTGAAGTGAAACACAATGCTGATGTATAGATAGAACAATATTACTGTGTATAAAGAGGCATTAACACTCTACTAAAGTAGAACACAATGCTGCTGTATAGATAGAACAATATTACTGTGTATAAAGAGACATTAACACTTTATTGAAGTAGAACACAATGCTGCTGTATAGATGCACTGACTACTTGCACTTGTTATTCAATCAAAACCAAAATATCATTGTGTGGATGCGAGTTATTTTTAGATAGGGTTTACTTTTAAATGCACTATATTTTTTTTTCAAATTACACAAGAAAACAGACAATATTAAAAATATTTTTATGTCTCTCAACCATTCAGTGATTTAGCGTATAATGTACGTAGATATATTTTAATCTTAAGTATATTATATTAAGATATTTTTTGTAGCAATACCAATACGTACAGGAAGCTTCCAGTAGTTTGAGAGACGTTTAGTCTTCTGAACTTTTTTGTAACATAGTAGAACTAAATAATAGATTAAGTTGAAGGGACTCGAACACAAGATTATTCCGTCAATGTAAGTAAGCAACATTTGAGTTCGGGCGAATTTCCACTCAACGTTCACGTTGTTCTACGATAACGAGAAATGCAGTAATTCTGAATTTGTTGATTTGGTAAAAATAAACACGTATATAATTCGAAGAAGTGTTATTAGAAAACTTAAATAGACTTGTATATACAAACAGTAGTGAGTTATTTTCAAATAAGAGAAGCTGGTATACGAAATAAACAGTTTGGTATTTATTCAAACAAATTCATTTTGTTTTGTATAACCACTTTATTTTCAACATACTAAAATATAGAAAACTACATTAGTTATAATAATGTACTAAACATGACACACAATCCTGTCAGACAAGTCGATATCATCTACAGTTCCACTGAGTGATACCGCTATATATGAGAGCTGCTGTGAACCACGTGGTAGAAGATACGTTCACACTGACGACCAAAATTATATACGGTATCATTACAGCCTACGAATACGCTCTTCTTAACACATCGTGGTGTGAGGTTCAAAAAGAAATCGTCGTTGCTTAAACAAAAACAATAACACAGACAGTAACGAGTGTCCTATAAGCAAATTGTGCTCAACATTTAGAGTTGTCAATTTCTGAGACAACTGCTTATTTTGTAGTCAATTTGCAAACGTAAAGGAAATATAACATACAAATAACATGATCAGGTCAGAACGCTAAGTCTCCAGTAGCACAGCAGCATGTCTGCGGACTTATAACTCAAGAAACCGGGTTTCGATACTAGTGGTGGGTAGAGCACAGATATCCCATTGTGTAGCTTTGTGCTTAACTTCAAACAAACAAACAGAACGCTAAAGTCACTGACCAGTCTACTCTAGATATAGTATACAATATTCTGTGTCACTGACCAGTCTACACCAGGTACAGAATACAATATTCTATGTCACTGACCAGTCTACACCAGGTACAGTATACAATACTGTCTCTCACTGACCTGTCTACACCAGATGTAGTATACAATACTGCTATTACTGACCTGTCTACACCAGATGTAGTGTACAATACTGTCTATTACTGACCAGTCTACACCAGGTACAGTATACAATATTCTGTGTCACTGACCAGTCTACACCAGGTACAGTATACAATATTCTGCGTCACTGACAAGTCTACACCAGGTACAGTATACAATACTGTCTCTCACTGACCTGTCTACACCAGATGTAGTATACAATACTGCTATTACTGACCTGTCTACACCAGATATAGAATACAATACTGCCTGTGACTGACCAGTCTACACCAGATGTAGTATACAATACTTTCTATTACTGACCTGTCTACACCAGATGTAGTATACAATACTGTCTCTCACTGACTTGTGTACACCAGATGTAGAATACAATGCTGGCTGTGACTGACCTGTCTACACCAGATGTAGTATACAATACTGTCTATTACTGACCTGTCTACACCAGATGTAGTATACAATACTGTCTATTACTGACTTGTGTACACCAGAAGTAGTATACAATACTGCCTGTGACTGAGCCCGGCATGGCCAGGTGGTCAGGGCACCCGACTCCCAATCTGTGTGTCGCGGGTTCGAATCCCCGTCACACCAAAACATGCTCACCCGGTGTCCGGACTAGGACGCTAGTCCTACTCCCGGATACTCACCATATGAGAGTATGAGAAATACCATACGAAACTACTACTGCCTCTGACTGACTTATGTACACCAGATGTAATATACAATACTAATTGTGACTGACTTGTGTACACCAGATGTAGTATACAATACTACTTGTGACTGACTTGTTTACACCAGATGTAGTATACAATACTGCCCGTGACTGACTTATGTACACCAGATGTAATATACAATCCTGCCTGTGAGTGATTTGTGTACACCAGATGTAGTATACAATACTACTTGTGACTGACTTGTTTACACCAGATGTAGTATACAATACTGCCCGTGACTGACTTGTGTACACCAAATGTAGTATAAAATATTGCCTGTGACTGACCTTCTTCAGCAGTTACAATATATATTATACTGTTTGTCACTAGCCTGTCTAGATCGGGTACAGAATACAATATTCCCTCTCGCTGATCTTTCTATAGCCGATACTGTATACAATAGTATATTTTGAACCAGCAACACAACACGAATTAGTTGAAAATATGAGACATCTTCTCTTCCTTATAATTGTCATACTTTTCATGTTTAAAATACTTCAGTAAATGTGTTATTTCTGCCCTTGATGGACGACGCAACTTAATGACATTTGTTAGACAAATTAGCTGGGTTCTGCTTGGTTTCCCTAAAGGAAATAACTTAGAAGTTCCGCACTAAAATCACTTACTTCCCACTTCAGCTGAAGGGAAAAAAAACGTTAAAAGGAAATGCTGAGCATGCCCAGATTAGAACTCAGTCCATTTGGTACAGAAGTATCTTCTTTGGAGGAAGGCAATAAGTGTATGCTGGTCGTATTGTAGATATTATTGAAAGACAACCAGCTGAATAAACTACACCTCTCAAACAACTAGCACTGGGCCAACCTCTAGCACAATAATCCAGACCTAGATCTACTCTATGTCCTCTTCTTTCTGGTCATGGGGTGCAGATCCAACGAGACTTTAGTCGTGATTACTTGCATAAGAACTGTAACAGCTTGGATCCTGTGTGTCCTATGATGACGTACACAGATATTCATACTCCGCAGCTATGAGTGAATAATAATTTCAAGTTCATCATAAATTTGTCCCTTGTCCGTTCGCCTAATGAACAGGGGATAATGTTGATCATCAAGTTTCACCGATCGATGACCATGGTCACGTGTGCAGCAGATATTGCTAATGGAAGTTCAATAAGTGAGCAAAAGATTCAGTCTTTAATAAACAGTGTCACATCTTCAGAGCTTGTTGCCCAGCACTAATCCCACTTAGCCTCAAGGATTCAGTCTTTAATAAACTATGTCATATCTTCAGAGCTTGTTGCCAAATATTGATACCACTTAGCTTCAATCTTTAATAAACTATGTCACATCTTCAGAGCTTGTTGCCAAACACTGATACCACTTAGCCTCAAGGATTCAGTCTTTAATAAACTATGTCACATCTTAAGAGCGTGTTGCCAAACACTGATACCATTTAGCTTCAAATATTCAGCCTTTAATAAGCTATGTCACATCTTCAGAGCTTGTTGCCCAGCACTAATCCCACTTAGCCTCAAGGATTCAGTCTTTAATAAACTATGTCACATCTTAAGAGCGTGTTGCCGAACACTGATACCATTTAGCTTCAAGGATTCTATTACTGTGTATAAAGAGGATTAACACTTTATTGAAGTAGAACACAATGCTGCTGTATAGATTGTTCTATCTATACAGCAGCATTGTGTTCTTTGCTACTGAATTAGAACATAATATTCTTGTATACAGTAGTACTAATACTTGTTATGAAATATAGCATAATATTGTTGTATACTCTAATACTAATACTTGTTACTGAATTAGAACATAATATTCTTGTATACAGTAGTACTAATACTTGCTACTGAATTAGAACATTATATTGTTGTATGGAGAACTACTAACACTTGTTACTGAAATATAACATAATATTGTTGCATAGAGGAGTACTAATACTTGTTACCAAAATATAGCGTAATATTCTTGTATACAGTAGTACTAACACTTGTTACTGAATTAGAGCATAATATTCTTGTATACAGTAGTACTAACACTAGTTACTGAATTAGAACATAATGTTATTGTTTAGATTAGTACTAACACTAGTTACTGAAATAGAACATAATGTTGTTGTTTAAATTAGTACTAACATTTGTTACAGAATTGGAGAACAATATTGCTATGTATAAAGAGGATTAACACTTTATTGAAGTCTAACACAATGCTGCTGTATAGATAGAACAATATTGCTGTGTATAAAGAGGCATTAACACTTTATTGAAGTGTATTATTACTAATCTATACAATAATATTATGTTCTAATTCAGTAACAAGTATTATTACTAATCTATACAATAATATTATGTTCTAATTCAGTAACAAGTGTTAGTACTAATGTATACAATAATATTATGTTCTAATTCAGTAACAAGTGTTAGTACTAATGTATA